TGTGTGTGTGTGTGTGTGTGTGTGTGTGTGTGTGTGTGTGTGTGTGTGTGTGTGTGTGTCTTTGTGTGTGTGTGTGTGTGCATGTGCATGTGCATGTGCATGTGCGTGCGTGTGTGTGTGTGTGTGTGTGTGTATGTGCTGAACAATATTGTGACTATACATGTTCTGCACATATCAAAGCAATCCACTTGCTCAGAGCTCATCAGTCAACGGCGGAGAATCAGAAAGCTTACTGTCCAGATCAGACAGGAATAAGCAGATACCCTGAAACAGGGTGAACTAAAAAGATCCAGGCATTTCTTGCTAAGATACCTCACCTTTGACGTAAGTGACAGGAAGAGTTCAATGAGCTGAGGTTCCATGCAGTGGCAGGCGATTAGCAGAACATGACAATGATAAGGCACGGTGACGGGAGGATGCTCGGAGTGCTCTTTCAAAGTGTGTGATGCGAGATATCGTGAGGATAACAAGCAGAAGTGCAGGTGCATGCCACGCAGACATGACTGCAAAAAAATCTAGCTTGCCATAAAAGGTACTGAAACCTACCTCCTACCTCAAGAAAATATAACTTCCTTGCCAGCAAAGATAGCACGACCTACCTGAGGAGCGGCGGCGAAACTAAACAAAACGAAGGAACTAAGAGACAACTTTTCTCGTTCTAGCTGTACACAGTTCTAGAAGTAAACTCGGCAATACAGAACGGAACGGGATGTGCGATCGGGAGGCTTTACTTCTTGGTTTATGTTGTTGAACATTCAGTAATTTATCATTTCGTCTTTGATTTCCACGCCATCATTTATACGTGTCGAATCTGTCGATCGCTCTCCTTTCCAATACATGGGGACACTGCTCAGAGCTACATCACACTGCATCTGTTCGAGAGTAAAAGTTACGAACGGATGAATGGTATTGTCACTTGCGGGTCTACGCTGCATGTGCGATGAACCCGTCACACTGCATGTGCGATGAAGGGCGCACGAGCAAAAGTATACCCGTCACACTGCATGTGCGATGAAGGGCGCACGAGCAAAAGTATACACTTGCAATGTTTTAAAAGTCATTGCGATGGGTTTATTGTAAAAGAGCTCACGCTGCCACACCTTCTCCGATGGACAAGGCTTCATCTGCATCGAGGGCTCGTGCAACACAGACAGAATCAGTCGGCAGGCCAGAAGACTGCAATAGCACGTGTTCACGATGGAGGAGGCTGTAATAGTCTGCCCAGGCTACAAAGCTGCAGCGGCAGCACAAAGTCGTAAACACTACAAGGTGGACGGTTAGAACCAACTGACTAATCAAAATGAGAGGAGTCCGGTATATCAGAAAAAAAGGGCCTTGGGAGACCTTCGAGGAACAGCAGGCGATGCTAAAAGGTGGGCGACAAATGTATCTAGAACTGGCCTCTCTGTGTGTGGGCCTGGGCCTGTTACGAGTTGGACTGGGCATCTGTGCAACTAAAAGCAGCAAAGCTGCAGGAAACCCAAAGTCGACGACACATTCATACGTGCAGCGAGGCTAGCATTGCCAACTTGGTGAAAGTGAGATGACACTTGGATGGATGGAGGGAAGGAGAGACTGGAAGTCTGGTGACGAAATCAGCCAATCTGTAAAGAACAGGAAAAACTCTGTTGTGGAACCATCATCATCCGGGGGCTCAACGCGCTGAGGATGTTCCCGAAAGAACAGGTCAGTTCAGCTCATACAGCTTACAATGTTGTGTTATGTTATGTTATGTTATGTTATGTTACGTTATGTTATGTTATGTTATGTTATGTTATGTTATGTTATGTTAGTCCCTACTGGTGTCCTGATCGTCCCGCCTGTGTCCGTTAAGTACCGGCTGGAAGCAAAATGGATAGATCAGGGGCACAGTTAGAGGCACAATTAGGAGCACAATGACCCATAATGACAAATTCACAAGCGTTGGGCATGAGGTCGAAGGTCAAGCATGCAGCGACACGAGGGCCAAGGGAAGGACGTTTCCTCACAGGTGCAATCTTGAACTCTTTGCGAACCAGACTGCAATCCTGCACGGAAATACCCACGCGAAAAGCGTATCGCATCACACTAGCACTGAACAGCACAGCTCAGCAATGCACAGGGTATTGCAGCAGAAGATTACGGCAACCATCACTCTGACTGACGAAATATGGACGAATACTCAACACCGGCGCCCTGCAGGCCAGATAAGTCTCAGCCTCACAGGGCATCCATCAGGAGATCCCGCTCTGCACTATCTATCGGGTTGACCTTTTACTGGAATTGCGAGTTGTTCAGAAGAAGTCGCGGCGTCAGAAGGTGATGGGTTCAAGGCCAGCAGAGGTAGAGGATGCTTCAAGCATTGCACCACAGGAAACCAAAATTGCTGGGCCCAGGTAAATAGGAGAAAAGGATTGTGAAGAATAAACGTGAATCGAAGGCTGTCCGCTGGGGATCAGACGTGGCGATTCCTCAATGTGTTCCAACGCTCACGTGGCCCGTGGGTTGGCAGCAAACGCCATACAAGTGAAATGCTGTGCGGCACATCTAGTAAAGAGTCCCGCGGCACATCTAGTAAGAGTCCCGCGCCACATTCAGGATCTGCTGCTGAACCAATCTGCAAATGACTGAATGATAATGGGTAACGGGCAGCATGCCATCGCCTACTCTTTCTTCGTACCTGGCTATCACTTACCGGATGCATGTTAATCACACTCCCACGGTCAAGGAAGCTAACAACAAAACAAGCTTAAGTTAAGAAATAACAAGGCTTTAGCGTGGGGTTTTCCGGAAGTCCTCTGAGGGAGAGATCCCCTTTGAGAAGCAATCGACATTCTCCTTGTTTGTTGAAGTCACTCACCTAGTCTTCTTCTCCGTCCCCCCACCCTCTCCTCTTTATATCCCCCCCCCAACCCCCAACCCCCTCTCCCCTCCGCCCCACAAAATTGAGTTACCCCTGCCTATCCCCAAAGGCTCGATCATTCTAGTGCTTTAATAAGTTATCATGGAGGAGTTCGTACTGTACATATGGGACAAGACCAATCAGAGTCTGGGACATTAAGAAGCGGGGGATCTAGGCAAGAGATATGGAACTTCTGGTCACAGAGATCACACATGACTGTGGCCGGCGAATCTGCCTTCTTCTCACAGATCGCACAAGCTCCGTTATCCTCTAGGACCACCTCCCCAGTTTTCCACCATACCCGTGTCAACTCCACTTCCTTTGCATTCTTCCTTGACGCTGGTGGGGGGTCGCATCGGCTGTTCGCCAACGTGCACGCTCCTCCATTTCCCAAGCCATCATCAGCATCTCCTCTAACCACCTGCAATGCACGGCTCAATGGGCATTTGCAAACAAAAAAGCAACAGACAAAACTCCATCAGATGAAGAAAACAACTGCCGCATATGCATTCAGGAGACTGGTGTGCTGATAAAAAAATGTTAGACACCTATTTGTTTCCACATGCTCAAAAGTCCAATAAGCCATACATGCCATAACCCCAAGGCGAACTATAGATGGCCTAAGTTCCGTCGAACATGAATAGAGAATAGATTGTTCCACCTGGGTATCATACAGACAATCGAACATGTGTGAAAGACATCGTAGATATTCGCTGCTGAGTCGTGCTGACTGCCCAGATGATGCCGTCGTCTCACACAGGATGGAAGGGAGTACCGACAACCCTCCCTTCTGACGGACGCGCTGATCACCTGATCAGGGGGTTATCCGGAAAGAACGGAGTTCAAGGAAGTCCGAGGAACCGAACAGGGAGAAGGGCCACACGAAAGAAATACCACCTCTGCTTTGCCAAATTTAGGGTTCTCTCACGAATGTGGTGCAGAAAGAAGACGAGTGCGATAGTGATACAGATGGACATAAGCATTCGGACGGACGTTCTCAAATCCCTGGCGAGATGGTTGCCTGGGTACGGGTGAACCTGGCTCGAAGCTTGCCTTAAATGCAGCTATTGAGGCCATGCATGACGTTCATTTTGCGGAAGACGGTTGGTCGTCCAGTTTTCCTTGGGACTACGTGAGTAGTTCAGTTTACAACTTTGCACTCTCTAGAGCAGCATAGAAGTTCACATTTCCTAAAATGTTCGAGGTTGAGGGAACAAAGCAAAGCCCAATGTCTGTGTGAAGTTGGTAGGTTGCCTTCCCAATTTTCAAAACCAGTCCCGCCCGAGCCTCTGCTGTGCCTCGCACAACCCTGCTGCCCAAGGCCCCGTTGAAGTAAGGAGTCGCAAAAAATGTAAGTGGCAGGGGACTGGTTGTTTATCCTACTGGTGCATGGTGATCCAGAGCAGCTCTGCTTTAGCGAGGAAAAGGAGTTTGCGACCACAGTTGTGACTACTGTTGATGGTGTTCACATTATATAGTCGGCCGAATAGGTATAGCTTCCCTCGGAGTGCCCTCTTATTGTCATTCAAATGATCATGTTCACAATCATCTTCATGAACAGCTCTTCCGAAACTTCCAATCAGGTTCACAAACACCCACCTTTCGACGATCATTTGCATCAAGTTATCACACACCTTTTCACAGGGTACTGCTGCAGCTGTGCCCCACGAAGAAACTTGCTCCCTATCATCTTCCACAGTGTCCCTCCTGTCCAGTTCTTGGTTGTTTACAGTGCAATCAGCATGATGTCCATTGGCTCTGTCATCAACGCTAGCAGAGTTCAGTTCGCATTTTCCACACGAGTTGCGCTCCATAAATGCATCCATCCTTTGCTTCACTGCGGCATTATGGTACAGTTCCTTGTGCCGGGCGAGTCCCTGCTCTGTAGCAAAGGGTTCGCCACATACTGGGCACGGGAAACCCTTTCCTGCCCCTCCATTTCTGCACTTTTTGGGGGGAGAAAATGTACAAGACCATGCTCCCACGGGATGACTTCCCATGTGCTCTCCCAATTCCGCTGCCGTAGAAAACAACTCGATACAAATTGGACATACAAACTCGCCCACCTTCCTCTTTCTGTAATCCATATTTGGAGTGTCCTCCGGTTCCATCTTCACTTCGACATCAGCCTCAGCAGCCCCAGACCCTTTGACTCCCGTGGACCTATCAGGGCAGTCATCATCCCTTCTCATTGCTCTGTCTGTTTCGGGTGGTTCATGGGCTGCATCCTTCCACTCCCCTGCCGGCTTCACATCTTCAGCACGTCCCCACTGCACCAAATCTCTTGACATGCTTGTTTCGCATTGCACCTGGCTGACATAGGGAACCAGTTGCCAGTTCCGATTGGTCGAGTCCTCATCCATCTTGGCTTTCTCACTATCCCGTCTTTCCTGCCACGAAGGCGCCCCCTCTTGACAGGGTGTGCCGTGAATGACGGGACGCATATTCTTTGACTTGCAGGATGCATCTGGCTTCTTCGAAACACTCTTTCGCCCTTTCCCATTCACCCGGTCCCTCGGACTGAAGTCGCCTGGCAGGAGCGTCCTGCCACAAATTTCTGTGTGCGCATGCAACAGATTTGCAGCAGAAAAACGAGACTTGCAGAGGGAACATGAGAAGAGCCAAACTTGCCTTTTTGGCTTCTTGCATGATCCGTCACCAGCTTCCGCAGACCTGTTCGCCTCGTTTCCCTTTCTCTTAGCTATTTCCCGACTGTGTTTCGATCGGTGTCCGTTCCATGCACTGAATCGATTAAATCTCTTGCGGCAGACATCACAAAGGTAGATGCCTGGGTACTCAGGTGTGGACTCGTACGTCTTTTTTTGTCTCCCCCCCGCCCTACTCTGTCTCACTGCAACGTTCGCCTTATTTTCTTCCCCTGCTCCATGGTCTTTGGCTTGCCGCACAACGACAGCTAGGCACTGTCCCACAGCTTCCCTTGTTCCGTTTATTTCCATATCCTTAGCCTCTCCATTTTCTTGGGCCGCTGCACCCTTGCCAGCTTTCGAATGTGCTTTACCACTGTACCTGTTCAAGCAGTGGCCAACAATAGATAACAGTTCATGTCAGCAAGACACGGAGTCTCTCTGCTTCGAAAACTACCATGCTCAGTTGTGAGCACATTCCAAGGCAGTTTACTGTACAACAGAGTAGGCTACCGCATACACTGATGCCAGTGAACAACAGCATGGTGGATAGTTACCACGCAACCAAAGCACGCATACCACACCATGAGGCCATGATTCCTGCTGGAACTAAGTTCAGAGGAGGCTTGGTAGAGTGTACGGGAGCGTTGATCTCTCTCTCTCTCTCTCTCTCTCTCTCTCTCTCTCTCTCTCTCTCTCTCTCTCTCTCTCTCTCTCTCTCTCTCTCTCTCTCTCGGAACTAAGTTCAGAGGAGGCTTGGTAGAGTGTACGGGAGCGTTGATCTCTCTCTCTCTCTCTCTCTCTCTCTCTCTCTCTCTCTCTCTC